AGTATGTAATTTACAAAATTTTTACATGAAATAGGAAACTTTAATTCTTTTGGAAAACACAAAACCTTAAGATAGTTTTCTAAATGTAAATTACAACTCCATGAGACTGATAAAATCCCCTCATATACTTAGGTAGCCTACTCAACTCCACCATCAGTAAAATATTATAAATCCATATGCCTAATTCTAGTTTCAACTTGTTAGATTAACATAAATGTTTCATCTTCTACCAATATTACACATTTTGATCACAACTGTATACATTTTAGTAAACTTCTCATTGGTATAGCTCATAAATTTACAAAGGAGCCAGATTTTGTTTGGGATCAATTTAAAGGATATTGTCCAAATCAAATGTTGACCAAAGCTGCTTTAGAAGAATTGTGTGAATCTCTTAATAAAAAAACTCCTGCAAAAATAAGAGAAACATTTACACCACTTGTATAATAGCACCTACTGATTTCTCCACGGTTTTTTCGAAAAGTTTGCAGAGCATCCTGTGTGCACTGGAGCGTACAGCCAAACAAACAATCTACAATCGTTCAATCTACAGAAGATTTCTTATTTAAGACACAAGGCTTTTCTATTTCATAATAATCAGAAAGCAACTGTCATGGTAGTCTGTGCTGAGATTGTTTGTATTGAGGGGTTCTTCCTTTCAACTACATGTCATGGAAAATATTCAGAAAAAGCTGTCAACACCTGCAGCACCTGGAACACCTGCTAAGCAACCTTCAGAGGCTTTGAACATTTACCTTCAAGGATCCATAAAAATTAAAATACTTTTTCTTCTAAGCAGGCCATATTTTAATACACAGATAATATGTAGAAATTCCTCCTACTCATCATATCTACACAATACTCTTGTGGAATCCATCTTTCTGCAAATAGTATCATTTTAGTGGGTTTTAGTCCAATATAATAGGATTTGGTAAGAATAATCCAGAACCATAATTTACTAGTTCTCTTTAGGCTAACCAACCAATCCTTCGTATTTCCAGTCTCTAATAAGAATTTCAGATAGCAAACGATCCACAAAACCATCTTTAAATGAAAGACGAGAAATTTAATAAAAGATATTCTCTTGGGAAAAAAAAATTATTTAGTTACACTTATGTAATTAAATTTAATTACATTTATGTTTAGTGTAACAACTAAATATTCCATCACAGATTTCTCCAACACATCTTTGAGAAAGTTTTTGATTATCATCCAGCAATCTCCAAAAAAAAGACAGACTATACTGGAATGACACTTCCAGGAGATAAGAGCTGCCACAACCTATCTCTGTGCTGTACACAGGTCAGAGCTTCAGTCATGAAATTATTAACAAACTAAAAGGGAAAATCAATACAACAGGTAATAATATCAATACCTCTTATGCCAAGTATTAAGATTTTGCTTGTGGCCTGCAGGTATTATGGAATACAGGGCATGATAAGGCATTCACTATTTTAGAAAAAAATTATAGTGTATAGTATATGACCTATCCAACACAACAGAGATTTCAGAAGAGAACACAACAGATTCCAGTAGACAATCATGAGCTGAACTGAAAAAAAATGCTTTATAATGTCTCTCAAAACCAATAGCCATATTTCAGCAATTAAGCAGGGAAACCTTAGAATGATCTAGTCACTTAGGACTCTCCATCTCCTATACAAAGGTCATATAAATTAGTCAGTATAGAAAAAGGTTGAAGATATTATCCATGTTACCTAAAGAAAAATAATCAGTGATATTTATAGAATAAAGCAAAATATTCTGTATTTATCTGCATGATTCCTAGATTACCCAGGTACAATTGGAATAAAAATCACTAGGAATAAAGGTAAATAGATACCTTTTTAATAATGGATATGCATTTTTCTTTTGTTGCAAGACATTATGCTAAAGCAAAAAAGCCTCAGACAGAAGTTTCAATGGTCCAACCTTTTCTAGCCCTGATTATTAACAAAGCAATGAAGCTGCTTGTTAATTAATAAATATATAAGAATCTCCTGCTCATTCAGTTGAATTGTTCCCACAGTTCCACTTTACCAGAAAAAAAGTCCTCTCATGGCTGAATTTTATGGGAAATTTATAAGACTAAACACCAAACAAGTAGTTTTTTATGTATGTAATTTGTGAAAGGATCATTAGTAATATTCAAAAAGCACACACATTACTTAACTATATAATATGCCAGGTATTGGTCCCATTCCTAATGTTTGAAGGGTTAAAGTCATCCCATTGACACAGCATTTTGAAGTATAGTCTTAAATTTTAAAATCTTTTATGAACAAAGATATGTCTACTATTGTTGAAAACGTGGCTTGAATATTTTTGACTACACAGAGCTTCAGTTCTGGGGGGGAAAAAAAAAAAAAAAAAAAGATTGTTCCCAGAACAAAAGTTTGTTCACACAAATCCCATTGCAAGGCTAGGGTCAAACACACAGCTAGTGGCAAATTTCACATTTACATATTCAATATAAAATTTGCTGTCGGTAAATATGACCTTAACAGTTAGTTTCCATGAATAGTCACACTAATCAAGAAGAAGCATATGAATGCTCATGACAAATGAATAACAAAAGGTCTTATAGAGTTTGAAATCAAATTTTAATTCTAAATTTGAATAAATATTACTGTACAAGCCTATTCTTATTTGTTCAATTCTAAATGTTATCAACATCAATACGACATAAAAATAATTCCTGGGCAAATTTGTATTTGAAGTAATGTTTTAGATCAATATATGTGGATAATTCTGCTAAGCTTCTTGGCAGCTCCGGATCTAATCTCCGAGAAATATAATTTAGTACTTCAGGGATTGTGCTCAGTGCTAAAAGTTCTCAGCTGAGAAAATGCATAAAAATATGTTTCCATGCCATTTAATGCAATGAAAGCCTTTCTGCAGCAGAATAATTGTATTGTATCTAGTTGAAGTTGAGAAAATTAGATAAAACTACTCTGATCTTCAAAAATGTTTGTAAAAAATAAAGACCTCGATTTAGAAGAATATGTAAATTCATAACTAAAGTCAAATACGTACATATTTTGGTGAAGAGGGACCCAGCATAATTATCTTGTAATTTGAAAATTTCACAAATAGTATTGCCTCAACATTTTTAGGATCACTTTCATCTGCATCTAAATTTTAAAGGTCTTGGCAAAAGTAAGTTTGGAGGTGCTCACACCAGATTTTAATTAACCAGAGAACATTTATAGACACTTCGGAAACAAAAGAGATTAGCATCTAACTCCAAGGAAGTAAAAAAGCTAATTTATATTTCAGCGGATGAAAATCTGCTGAATTACAGGTTTAATCAGTTTATGGTATGAGTTCTTCAAGACTTTCAAAATTAAGCATATATCTGTTATCTTAATCAAAACTGATTAGGCTGCTTATCCCATTGTGACCCTTTTTTAATCTTTTGTTATTTTCTTAATTAAGCAACAACACCACAGAAGTCCATTCTTGCCAGAAGTTAATTACTATTTGAGACTATAAAATCTTATAACAATAATAACTGACAGACTATTATATAAAAAGAATGTGTTTTCTGAAACAAAAAAACTCAACATCAAAGTAAAAACAAGAATGCTTTGTAAAATTCTGTTACATTGCTGCTAAGTGATTATGTCAGAATACCATAAATCAAAGGACAGACTACTAAAGACCTCACTTTTAGAAAGTTCAGGACCCTCAATCCTTAAAAATTATAGTTTTACAATTTTCTCTGTTCTCGCATTTTCTATAAAAATTTAGAAAAATAAAAACCACACTGTTGAGGCTACATAACTCAGTGATATGTAAGGAATATTATACATAGAGATGATTCAACAAAGCATGTTTCCATTTATGTAACACTTTCCTGTTGAGATTATTCCTGTAAAGATTCCTGTAAATAAAAGCTGCAGTCATAGAAGTAAAAGTAAAAATTAAAAAGTCTTGGTATTGCCAGATTCCAACACTCTAAGGGTTTTAATTGGAAAAAATAATAGTTTGTTTCACAGACTAGTGATTGCCATTGTTGTGCACATGATTCATTTTACTCTAAAACCTCACTTACTGATGGAAAGAGGCTTTATACAGTCTGAAAAAACTTGTAAACTTTCAGGGTGATAGATATTTAAACAAAATATTTATCTGTTAGCATTCATTATGGTAAACACTAGCTCTCACCAATATTTCTCTCTGCAATCAGGGATTCAGAAATACTACATTATGACCTGAAGTGCACAGGGGATTTTGAATATGTTTTGTATTCGATTTTCCATGTAAATATGACTGAACAAAATATGTCAAAATGCCCCTAAGATGACTAAGAAATTGTTAAGGTTTTGTGAAACATGCTCATCTATCAATGTATTATGCAAATATATCATACTCAAAATAGTACAAGAGGGACGGCATTTCAGTATTTCAGAAAATCTAGAAACATCCTCAGCAATTTCTACTGCAAGCCAACCTTAAAATATGAGAGTTTTTTGATGAAGAACAATGTCTTGAACTTTCCTTTTAACAGAGAGCATAATTAGAACCTTTTAAATGCTTTGAATCACTACTGGTTTGACAAGGGCACGTGAAGTGGAATAGAGCTAAGTACATTCACTAGACCACATCTAAAGATATATGTCATTATCCTGGTAATGCAATTCAGCCTGAGCAGTGACTAGTTCCCATTTACATCAGAAAAGTACTAACAGCACAGGGAAGCAATAACTGCTGCAGGTCTCTGCACAAAAATCTAGAGAACAGGTAACTGATGTAATTTTTAATGAAGTGTTTCTTCCCTCTGTAACCATACCTGCACCAAAGTTCTTCTTGTAACCTGTGAACTTTTTACTACTGCAAGCTTTTTTACTGGCCACAACCTCGGAAAACAGCTAAAAGGAAACAGGTAGTACCCTATTGAACTTGTATAAAGACACCAGTACTATCAGGGTAAAAGAAAAAATTATACATCTACAAATAGGCCCAGTGCTGACAAACAGATATAAAAACACCAGTACCATACTGTACCATACTACTGGTTGAGAAGTATGGGATGGGCCATCTGGAAACCTCCATGTATCTGGCTGGAACAGGCCAACACTGGATACTATTGAAAAATTACATAGAGTCCATTCTCCTTTCCTCTTCCTTCTCCACCGAACAAACTGTCAAAAGATAAAGACCCATTGTAGAGAAAAAAAGAAGACCTAAAAATATGTACAGGTGTTAGATTACCCTTGGATTAAAAGTTTTTTCCTGGCACCCATTTGATTCTACTATAGCCAGAGCAATGACATTTGTGAAGAGTCAAATCGGGTATTATAACTGCTGGAAAATTTTCAGAAGACTATGTGTGTGCGCATTTGCACTTCTTTTAGCACACCTCTTATTTATGACTCCTGGCTAGCTAAATAGACCGGCTCTATTTTGTCCAGTTTTGGACAAATATAGTGTGCACATCAAACCATAAGAAATACACAAGTTGCCTTTTAGAGGTGAACATTTCCTTTCAGTCTAAACCACATCGTTGTTACCTGTTTAAAGAAAATATAGTTGCTGGGAGTTCGACAGTACTTTTTAGTCCTTATGGGTAAGTGAAAAATTTTTAATAGTGACCAGAGAAGATAATTTTCATACCCATAAGAGTTTTCATTTTTCCTACATGAAGTTGGAGTGTTTTTGTGTATGTTTATTTCCTCTGCCCTTTGGAGGCTTTTAGTGCTCTCTATGACGTTCTTGTCTAATCCCAATAGATTATGGTGGAGAAGTTAGTCCAAGTAAAAATAAAATCTCAAGCATCTAGCCAAAGTGGAGTATGCTTTTTCAAAAATAAGGCACAAAGGAACAGATTAAAAATAATTGGGACTCTGGTGCTTGGCCAGAGACTCAGACCCATTTTCCTAATTTTTTAATTATTGTACAACATTATATCTATACATAGCAAGTAAATGTTGAGTCCCTTTACTAAAGACAAATTGAGATATAGGTCCACAACTGGAAGATGCTGTGCAGAATGAAATATTTCAAAAAGCTTTCTGGAGGGTAAAGCACAGACACATACAAATAAACATGAAAACATTTATATTTACTTCATTAGGAAGCAGAGAAACTCAAGGCTTTACAGCAAAATACCAATGTAAACAAGGCCACAAATAAAGCATATCTGATAGTACACAATCTAAATCCACTGCTCAACTGTTTCTTTTCTTTGTAGCTCAGGCTTTCAGCATTAATGAAGCTGCATGACAAAGGAGGAACCAAGGGCAGCTATTTGAAGGATGTTGCACCACAAGTGGTGATTCAATCTTTCACTCTATCCTACTAAGCCCTAATGGATTTTTGCTTTGAGGACCATAGCTATGTAATAAGGAAGTAACAATATTTATCATGTAAACTTGGTATTAGTCATGACAGCATAATCTACTCCCTTCTATAAAAACTCAGCAGTAAAAATGAGTAGTTTTAAAAGATGAAATCTTAATAAAATGACTAATATATCTACAGGTATCTTGAGAGAAAAGGAATGAAAATATAAATTAGGAAGACTAGCAATGCATTAATGTATTTTAAAAGTTTAACATAATAGTGCTTGAATAAATTCAAACTTTTACAGAGTTTGGCACCAAAAAAAATTATTTAAACACTAAAAAACTATGGCTAAAACCAGGTTAGAAAAGCAGCTGAATATGTGTTAAGAGTACTATTCTAGAACATATCAAAATTCAAGGAATTTCCACCACAGAGGAAAAAAACAGTAGACTATTTGCAGCTGCTAGGTTCTTTTCCATTTGATTGGCACTTATTTCAAATTGATGCTGAAATATTAAACAGATTATTATTAGCTCAAATTTCATGAACAGTAAGGATGTTCTGTAATGGATATTTTCATTAATTACAGCAGGGCACCAGGGTATAATGTCACTAAGATGACATTGTTTTTTTTTTTAATCACTCAAGTCTCAAATAGAAAACAGCAGCTGTAAGGAAAGAGTAAAAATACTGAATTTCCAGAAAGTTTGCATTTCACTTTTAAATTCAGAAGTTAAAACTTCAGATTGATTGTGGTCTTCTCTCAGAAGCACCGACTATGTAGCTTCAATATTTGAAGTCGTCATCCAGTCTAGAGGGTAAAGGATTAAATGGCTGTGCGGTGAGTTACACAGTACAGGATCTCTGCAGCATGAGAAGGTGGTAATCTGTGTTCGCAGGTTGCTCTTATCACTGTCATCAAACTGCAAAATATTAATGCAGAGGTCCTTTCCTATAACAGATTCAGAGCTTCATATAATTCAGAGAGCTAAATCTGATAATAGCCTAGGCCTCTGTTTCACAGTTAAGGAAACAAAGATGACAGAAACATAATTTACCAAAAGACACGTCTGTGAAGTCGACATGGAAAAAGATTTCAGATCATTTGGTTTCCAGTCCTGTGTTAAAAATACAATATGCTCGTTCTGCTTAAAAACACTTACAAAAACATTGCCAAACCTATTCATAATATGTTTTAAAAATCACTTTGAATGTTTTAGTTTTAAAACAGAAAAGTCAGAGTAGGAGTTTCATTAGCTGTGGACGATCGCAGTTAAGCAACTACAATTCCCTATACTGTCACATTCATATAGCATATATCCCTCATGGAGGGCCAGCACACAGAGCCCTGCTGTGAATGCAGAGAAAAGTAGAAAGCAAAAGATACAAAACAGGTCACATGACATCTCATGTAAGGTCATTCTGCTGGGGAAAAAAAAAAAAAAGATGTCTTGTGCAAAATGCTGAATTGAAACATGCTGCTACATACTGTAGGTAGCTCTACATAAAATCCACTAAAGCCTGAATATACTTACCTACCACTACATGAGCTTTTCCTATTACAATTAAAGGAATACCTGAATGCCACATTAACTGACAGACATAGGCTATCACTTTTCATTAGAAAAATTCCCTGAATTTTCCCCAAATACAAGAAATAAGAAATTACTTCATATCCATAGCCATTTAGTTCCTTTCATTTCCTAAGAGAAAAAAACAGATGCTAAGATCGAAAGAGATATGTAACCATAGGTGTTGGTACTACCTGAGATGTAGTAGATTCTTTAAGAACAGAGACATAATGTCAAACATATTAGCCTTCATTTGACTGAAATTCTTCCTTCTCCATGGACTTTAGGTGATTTGGTGCACTATAACCCTGGAAACAGTAAGAGCAGTAGATCCAACACAAGGTTTTTGGTAGTATGTAACTGAGTTGACTCATACTCTCCTACTCTGAACCACTCAGTATTAGCATAAGAGAAGCAGTTCACAGCACAGCCTCTCTCTCTTTCCCAAAATCTTGTCTATTGTTAGTGGTGTTGTGGTGAAGTGGCTAGATCCAGAACCACGAAAAATGTCCACATAACAACACTGTGTTGGTGCTTGCCCATCCATATTTATGTCTGGACAGTAAATGGAGGGAAAATCTAGAGATACATTAGTTTCCAAACTACAAATAAATTAGTTTCCAGCCTCAAGAATAATTATATCCATTATGAGCCCTTAGAGGACTAGATGTATGGATTGACATGTTATGTATTGTTGGACCTTATTACTTAGATAGAAGACTAAACTCTAAGATGTGTTTGCGAACAAACCTAATTTCAGCCTTTAAAGAGTGTTGTTGTAAAATGTAAAGGAGAGTTTACTGAAAAAGGAATAATTAATAAATCCATGGTAGAAAGAGCACAAACCTCCACATTCAAGTTCATACTGCATTTTTGGGACTCAAACTGCAAGTGTGATGTTGAGAGATATTTTTTAAGAGAATTTCTAGTTTATTTTTTCTCTGCAATCTCCTCCCATGCTGATACTTCACCACAGAGAGGATGTATTTACCTTACCTTCAGAGATCACTAAAACTGAAGCGACATTATGCTGCACTCAGATGGGAGTCTTTACAACCCAAACCAAACAACAAGCTGACAGTCAGTCTTTGATAGAAACTAATTATGTGCTTTCATGGTATGAAAAATATTTTCACCTTCTACAAGCAGAAAAGTGACCAAACCTACCTATCTAGTCTTATAAGAGTAGTCTATCAGTCTCTTTATCATCTGTATCAAAAGTAATCAAAGATAACAAAGAAAACAGAGTTCCCACAAGTATTAACTAAGTTCACTAAATAATGGGGAAGGATTCTCCCCGATAAGAAAGATGCCATGAATTTAATTAAACTACCTGGTTTTGAAATAAAAATAATTTTTTATGCATAGTATGGGTATCAGGAAAGCACAGTGAAATACCAGGGCCAACTAACCACCAGTGCAATACAATAACCTACAGTGACTATGCCACAGGTCTTTTCATTGCAGAGCTATGCTTAAAAAGTTTTCACAAGCAGCAAGAAGTTTTCCATCTAGAAAAAGAATGAAAACTCATTGAATTTACATTGCAAATACAAGTCTGAGTTTTCTACAGGCATCTTCAGCATCACACACTGAAAAAAATTCCACACTGGTTTACAATGAATATTTTCCAAAACATTAGGGCAACCTAACATATCCTTACATATCCTTACTATATCCTTACTATCCTTACATTAACATAGCCTTACATAATATTGTACCTGCTAAGACCTAATTAGTTATTGAAAAAATCAGAAAGAAACAAAGCTCTGAGTTCATGTGCCTTGCAAAGCCATTTCAAAAGTACTCAGATGCAATAAGGATTGAAAATTAACTTTCAACTCCTGTTTGACTCTCTACTGTGAGCAACTATGTTGCACACACTTCCAATTTTCTCTGTTACCTTGTGATTAGAGGTACAGATCCTGTATTGGAGGAAGACTCTGCAAGCCAGAAGTGCTAAAAACAACTCAAATTGAAAAGGGCATGCTGTAAAGAAAACCCTACCTAGACTCCTGCTGGCACACCAGTTGATGTACTCACTCTCTACTAAGTGCTATGCCTAAACACACAGGTTACTGCATGATGCATAACCTCATATATCACTGCTATATTAGGCACTACAACAAATTTGCTCCACTAATATATCATATGAATCATTGAACATTTCTGAAAAAAAGATTGTCAGAGTTAATTTACTTTGGCTTTTTTATTTATATTATATATTTATAACTCCTATGCATATTTTAGTTTACAAAATGTCATATGGAAATTTTATACTATTTAAATATTGCTCAATACTTACTACTATTATTAAGAATTATTCTTGGTTAGAATGAGAATTTAATATTTATCTGCTTATTAAACTTCTACACCACTTGCAAATATACAAATGCAAATGTAAAACTGGTAAAATACCCTTTATTTATTCATAGAGAATTATCTACAAGGAGTTTGAGAAGAGATTATGTTGGATAAATGAGGTATAAATCAAAAATTTAACATGATAACACTTGCTACTCTGTGTCAATTCCCCCTTTTGGCTTTTCCAAATTCTCTTTTCTTTCCAAGAATGTATTTAAACTTTATCATAAATAGCCAACATATTTGTCACACAAGCACAGAAGATGATGAGTTGGAAGGGACCCACAAGGATCATCGAGAATTTACCAGTTTTCAATATGCATTTGAGTGTTCAAGGCTACACTTTTAGTAGTATCTTTTTCTCGTGTCTTGTAATTTCAACAGCCTATTTAAATCCCATCAAGAGATTTGACATATTAATGCATATTAAACAAACAAGCTGCAGTAAACTTCTGAAATATTTAAAATCTGATCAGTATTGCACAGGTAAAACTTAATATAAATATGACTATTAGCCAGTATATACAGAGGACGGTCTGATGAAGGCTCTGAAGAAGGAAGCACAATTTGAACTACAGATTTCCAAAATAAAAAAAGTGTGCAAAAGCACTGAAGAGTAGTGCAGTGATGTAATCTTTCAGCCTGCATTAACTTGTTCATCTATTAACTCTCGCTTTCTAAACCCAAACAGCATATGTTCAATGAACCAGCACGTAGCAGAATGCTGTATGAAACACAGAGTCTCCTGGAATTGGCAAAGTAAACTTTAGAAAGATAACCGTTCAAACATAACATTGCCACATTATCTTAAAAATACAGATACAAATTCTGTGGTGCTACACAGGATTTCAAGGTAATTTCTTTGTTAATCTTCTACTTTCTGGCATTATTTTTTGAAATATAGGGTTTCCTCCTTCTGAAAGTACTTAAGAAGGGTCAAAAAGTCAAGTATAACAGAAGTACATGGCGGGTTTAGCAAAGGTGACTTACCAATGGAACCAACCTACTACAGACCTTCCAAATACACATGGCTTCTACAGAAAAGATCTCCCTAATACACTGTTATTTTAAACCCTTATTGATAACAGCTTAACTGAATGAGGACAGCATCCCCCATAACTAAAAGCCAGAGAACAAAAGACAGATAAATAATTTTGTTTCATTTTGGAAATAGGATTAAAACCAACCCAACAGCAAATCTCCAACACAGTGCAAATTACAGCTCTTGAAATTAAAATGACCTCACACAGCCAGAAAGCTATAACACTGCTGAAATTTGACAGCTATAAGCCAGAAGAAGAAATACTGGAATTTATACAACTCAAATCTTCATAATAAAGCAATCACCTTTAATTTGGAAAAGCCTATCTGAGAAGAGCAATTACACAAAATTAGGAAGTTTACACTACAAACTTTGTTATTTGTCATATTAGAAGGTACAGTCATATTTGTTTCTGAGTCACAATAGCTCAAAGGGATACCACCACACTGCTATCAGGGTACACTATCATCCCAGTAACTATGAACAACAAAAAAGTAGACTAAAAAACAGAAAAGCTCACCACTTCTTCATGCCTGCATTTTCTCACATTAATTCCATTAATCTGTTATTAAAAAGATAAAGAGAAGACTTACTCTACATTTCATAAGTATAGAATTCATTTTACATTTCTAGAAAAATGCAAACAAAATAATTTGCAATTTTACTCACCTGTAGAATTGCATCTCCTATAAAGAGTAAACCTGAAAGTTCAGCTGAAAATAGAAAGCATATTTTTCACTCATTTGATACAAAACATCCTCCATTTTGTGAACGTGAATTCTAATTTAATGTAATGTTTTTACATACTCTTTTAAAACTTAAAACAAAAACCTAATTAATAAAGAACCAAACATAAAACTTCCAGATAAATTATTTGCATTTTCTCTTTTAAACTCAAAATACTGGTATTTCAGCATTATAATAAAAGAGTCTATCCAGCCTAACCAGAAGAGTATGAAACATAGTCCATCAGTCACTAGTACCCTTCAGTCCATTGTAGTGAGGTATAGTATACTTTTCTGAACAGAAAATGACTACAGGACTAGGTCTTATTTGCCTGTGAGAGATAAATTCTAACAAAGTGAAAAAAAAGCAACATGGGGACTCCAGAGCTACTTATGAATGACTAATTTAACTTGTAAGCTTTCAGCAAAGATAAAAGATCCTTTAGAACCTGCATATTTGATAAACTCTATAAATAACATGGAGTATTCACACTGAATAACATTTTATATGCTGAAGAGCTAGAAAATCAGTATATTGTGTAAAACCAAGAGCCAAACTGAATTTGATTTTTAAAACAAAACTGTATCAAAAAGACATTTACAAAAGATACAGTTGCAATTTTTAAATACTGTGTTGTGTTTCAGAGCTATCTGATACAATTATAGTATACCAGAAGAATAACAAAGATTATTTAAGTGTCTATAAAGAAATTAATAATCCCTAACATGGGAACCAAGGAATGTTAACAGATTGCATGCTATTATTTACCTATAGTATTGCATATCACCCCAGAAGGTACTAGACTGGGAAAGACTAGAATTGGGCTTGATCCAAAAACTTTACTTATTTCCATGAGGGCAGAAGGGGTGGATGGGTGGCATTGTATGTAATAGAAGGGTTAGAATGTACAGAGTTCACAGTTGGCAATGGCACAGTTGAGAGCCTCTGGGTAAGAACCAGAGGGCAAACAAACAAGGAGGATGTCACTGTGGGAGTCTGGTATAGACCTCCCAGCAAGGACAATGACACCAAAGATTTTCTTTGAGGAACTAAGGGACACTCCAAAGTCTACTGCCCTTGTCCTTATGGGGGACAGAAGATTCCTAAAAAACCTGGATGATAATCTTATGGAACAGATCCTAAAGGAGCTGACTTGGAAAGATGCCCTCCTTGATCTGCTGCTTGTCAACAGAGTGGATCTCATGAGCAGTGTGGAGACTGGTGGACATCTTGGCCACAGTGACAGAAGGAAAAGTGCCAGCAAAACCTCAGCCATGGGCATGAGGAGAGCAGACTTCTGGCTGCTCAGAGAATTAGTAAGTAAGGTCCCCTGGGAAAACGTTTTACAGGTACTGGGGTCCGTCAGTGCTGGTCACTATTTAAACACCAACTCCAGGCAACTCCCAAATGTCAGAAGTAAAGCAGGTGAGGCAGAAGGCCAGCTTGGCAGAACAGGGATCTTCTCTTGGAAAAGAGACAAAAAAGAAGGTTGTATGCCCAGTGGAAGCAAGGTCAAGTGACATGGGAAGAATCTGGGGATACTGCCTGCTGCCATGGGGAGAAAATTCATGCAGCCAAAGCTCAGCTGGAGTTGAAGCTGCCAGAAATGTGGGGGACTATAAAAAGTTTTTTCAAATATATTAATGGCAATAAACAGTAGAGAAATATCATTGGCCCACGACAGGATGGGAATGGTCACCTCACAAACAGGGACAGAGGCAAGGCAGAGATGCTTAACCTTTGTCTTCAACAGAGATGGCAGACCAAGGGGCTCTGCCAGTGTCCTGGGCTGGAGGACCAAAACTGCGAGAACGCTCTAGTCCCAGTTGACCCTGAAATTTTGTGGGATCTGCTGCATCAGCTGGATCCCTACAAATCTATGGGGCCTGATGGGATTCATCCAAGAATCCTCAAGGAGCTAGCTGAAGTCATCACAAAACCTCTCTCAATGATTTTTGAGCAGTGTTGGTATTCTGGAAGCTGGTGAATGTTGTCCTGATCTTCAAGAAGAGCAAGGGGGATGACCCTGGAAACTACAGGCACGTCAGTCTCACTTCAGTGACTGGTAATGTTATGAAGAAGATTATTCTAGAAGAATAAAAACTTGAAAGACAGTACACTGTCATTGGCCACAGCCAACATGGCTTCATGAGAGGGAAGTCTTGCTTAATCAAACCTGACTTCCTTTTATGACAAGGTAACCCACGCAGTTGATCAAGGAAAGTCAGTTGATGTAATAATTTTGGGTTTCAGTAAAGCTTTTGATTCTGTCTCTCACAGAAACCTTCTGGACAGAAGGTATAGATATAGGTTTTGAGTCAAACAGCATTTTCTCTATCAAGGTTCCCTAGTACACTTTCCACATTACAAGACAGTCTCCTACACAAGAGATGTCCCTAAAAACTAGCTCTCTGAAAATCAGCAGTATTTTTACTGAAATAAGTAATGAAGATCATATCTCAGCTAGGTATTGAGGCTAGAAATAATGCATCAGCTACTGCAGCAAAAAACTACAAAAATAAAACTGTGCACTTCTGTGTGCTCAGTTAAACTTAAGTCTATCTTTCTTGTTTTTCTGAAGTGCTTAATAGCATTTTAATAGCTACCATAGGTAATATATGCCACATTTTTATATATTACCTACTTACATGTATGCTGAAAAGAATGTAGTCACAACTATAATTTCTTAAAGTTAACCTTATTGCCTTCCTTAGAGGTTCATTTCACACTATTCCATAGTCTCCCTACATGCAACTTTCACACCTGTCTTTCAGAGTTGTCTTTCAGTTCTCAGTACACTGATTCTTCCATGACTCCCTTTATCTGTGTGTGTGAATATGAAATATTTTTAATGCTGGAACATTTTAAATGTGGGGAAGCAACATCCTATTATTATTGCATTACAGATGGAAGGAAATGCTTCTGAGTTTATATTTCTGGCCTTACACAAATGTACACAAATACACACACACAGATATTAAATACACCATAATAGTACTGATTCACAACCTTCGTCTCTCATAACTGTACACATCTTGAGCAGTTTAACTATTACTCATGTTCCTAGCCTTTATATCATCCCAATAATTTCAAAACATTGCCAGTTAAAAATGATACAAAGATTCAGCACCGGTTCTGTTTGTATTAAAAGTAATTACGGTTAAGACTTCATGCAGTACCAGTTTTGCTACATATGAGTGGTTGGAAAGGCTTACACAACTCAGCACTATTTCCATTGCTGAAATAACAAATGGGTATTATCAAGGTTCTGCCATTAGCCACCCCCTTCCCAATACTGCTCTACTAACTATTTTAAAAAGTCATGCATTCTTCTCCTGTGTTACCATAATTTAATAGCCAAACATTTGATCTGCTTCAGCGTCCTGAAAACAACTACTAGGAAATGAATGCCACAAAATCAATTCTTTTTGATAATTTTTTTAAACATCTTCATTTTATAAACACCTTCCTGTTTCTCTCCTTAAAACTAATGCTTTATAAGAACCTGTTTTTAAAAAAAAGGTTGAATACTTAACAAAATATTCCAAATATTAATTCTATACTTTTTCAGAGAAAGGTTCTGAGGAAGACAGAGATCATAAAGACATGGGAGAGAAAAGGTACAACAATAGCCTACATTTAACACTGACTGAAGAATCTCAAAACTTAATACACCTTGCTTTAACAGGCACATCAAAACACAGTGTACTAAGCTGATACCCACCTCTTTGTTCTTTGGAAATCTTAGAAATGACCACTGGAATATTATGTTCAGCTCCACCCTGAAAACAGAATAAATTACAATCTTGTCAGTCACTAAAAATATCTTTTTGCCTAAAATTATATTTTTCTCTTTCTCTAAATGCCATTTTTAGAGAGACTGAGATTCTGCATTTCCGCTTTTTTTTTTTTTTTAATGAATATTTGACTGTGAATAATTCCTTATTGCCTCTCAAAAAGACATTTTAGGTTGCCATCATTAACTCAGGAAATAAATTCAAACCCTACAAGACTTGAAGAAAAAGGACATCAGTTTATCTGAATTCTTGAGAGCTTAGTGTATGAAACTGTGTCCTGCAAAAGCAGAATGGCTATCCCCCTACAATGGCAACCATGCTGTGATCACTTAGTTTTCATGCTGGCAAGAAACAGGTAAACAAAAGTGGAAGAAAGAAGGTTTAGACTTTTTCCCTCAAAAGCAGCCTTTATTTGTTTCCCTCTCTATCAACAAGCACAAAGAATGAAGAAAGCAGTGGCATAAGTAACGAGGAACAGAAAAAGAAACATTATGAGAGGGAACAGTAGGTGTTCAATAAATGGGAAGAAATAAATCAAAAATGAATGATAACTCAACAGTTCTACAAAAATTCAGTGCTGTTGCTTCATTCAATTTATCCCGTTGGGATTGGAAACATGTATGGTTTTTACGAATAAAGTAATAAAAATAAATCTTAAATGAAAAGGAAAATCAAAGGAAGGTAAAGGTAAATATACACAGAGACAAATATTTTTTCCTCTGCAAAGAGCATCAAAGCTTGATGTTAGCTTGAATGTAATCTCTAAAAATTCAGATCATCAGAAACTCTGCCACAGTGTTATTTTGCTTAGGAATCCTAGTTAAGGGTTTGCTTACTCTTCTCTTCAGCAGTCAGATTTTACTTTGGAAGCAATGGCTTTCTCAGGTCCAGGCATCCAGTGTTGAGGTATGGAAAGGACTGACATGGGTATTTTGATGGTCTAAGGAACAGTACACATCCCTTCTTTGTACAACAGCCAGTTGTTTGAAACTGAACAGTTTTGTACTCAATATCTATTTCTGTCATTGAATAAAGATTATTTTCCTGTGAAACTACAGAATCCTACATAGGATTAATGCTCTTTCTGCTAGTGGCTATCAATGCAAATAGTCCTAAAAACACTGAGTCAATGGGGATCTCAGTAATATTACAATAATTATACATCTACAGGAAAAGTTCTACAGGCATTGCTTGAGATGTTTGTTGACAAGTAGAGAACATATCCATATTTGTAGCACAGACTGAGTATTCATTCCACAAAGACCAGAGGCTACCTTCTTTTCAGTCAGGCTGAGAGATGTATTCACATTCATTAGATTGTAGCATTATAGTTTGATGAATATAATTCAGTAATTTTTCACCATAGGAACAGCAACAATGAAAGTTTGCTTTGTTGAAGATAACAGGTTCAAGCTCACCAAATTCATAAAACTTAACCTATACACTCCAGATTTTTCAGTCACATGCACATTTAATTTCTTTTAAATTTTTCAAACAAAACAGAGAAATAATTGTGTCATTTTATTCCTAAGCTTTCAGTGTTACACAGATGTTGCACTATCCAGGATATTTAAAGCCCAACAAAGAAGTGTAGAATTTAAAGCTCTACATAGCTAATACAGGTCCTTTTTTAATCCTGTGTCATTTTATTATAACTACCTAAATTCGTTTATGCTGCAGATTTGAAGAAACTTTCACCGATATCCTAACTAACTGAAGAAAATTCTCTCTTCTCACTGCATCCCAGTCTGATCAGCATGAAAGCTTCTTTTTAAATTAGCCATAAGAGGTATTGCTCATATTCTAAGAAATAAAAAATCAAAATGGAAAATAGAAAATAGCTAACCATCTATCTACACCCAGTCACTGCTAGCAGTTCACAGCAATAGTTCAAGCACGTTTTGCCGTCTTGTTGAATACTACTTCAGATTGACACTGCAGTTTTGCATCCTGTATTCCCCATTCTTCTCTGTCCTGAGGACGAAAAAGTGTATGCGTGTCTAAATTCTGGTTTTATAGACTCAGGAGATGCTCCTCTGAAGAAACCTGTGGGAACAGAGGCGACTTTTCCATTGCTTTAAATTTTCCCTCCCCCTAGTATCGACAGGTAGTTACAACCTCAGACCAGAGGAGGGACAAAAATACATCAAGTAACAGTGTTGAAGACTTAATGGCTCAGACTTCTACGAGAATCTATCATCGTTCTTCCTCATGCAGATTTTCTTTCTCATGTTTCTTTAATCGGGAAAGGATACACCTGGAATAATGGTAACTGCCCACCTGTTACCTGCGGAGGTGGTCCTGCTAGAAGAGGAAGATGAAGCTCTAATCACTGGCAGCTGTTTAAAGCTCACTGTCCAGGACGTTGGCCACTGCTGGTGAGAGGTCACTCACACCTCCTTTCAGTGTCACATAATACACTCCTAAAGATTTTTTCTTATCCCAGTTTTTATGCATGAGAGTTATTTTACAGAAGTGTTTATCATATTAAAAATAGAACAATTGAAACTAGTAACTTTTATTGACAAAGGCTGTTATTTTGTCCAGTACTAGGTATAATAAGAAAATAACTTTTTTTTTTTACTTTTTCTTTTTTTATTTCCTAAGCAGAGAGAAAATCACAGTCTAAGCAGGGTCTAAAAAAAAATAGACCAATTGTTGGACTCTATTGTTATTAGAGTTAGACAATGTAGGGGAAGTTTGATACTAAAAGGTAGCATTTCCACTAACAAAAATAGCTTTAGGGTCTATGGCCACTGGATCTTTTGATCAAGTCATGTTGAAGAGTAAAACTAAATCTCAGCAGATCAGTGATTCTGTTCATCATTTAAAAAGATGGAGGATTTTGTTCATCATTTAAAAAACAGAGGCAGGAAAATGGCATCCATGATTTTTATAAATATAGTTGGAATGCCCAGTTGTGAGAGAGTTTCTCTCATAGACAAGTAAAAAAAAAAAAAAAATTCGACAGTTTCATCTTGGAATTATTAACAATTTGTCCTTCTGTTCTTTGGAAAAAGAAAATAATTCCAAGAGTCCAAAACACTAAAGGTGGGATAAGACACTTCCAAAATTTACACAAGAGGAAAGTTAAAAGGTGTCTTGATCATGTGAGATATCTGGCAGCAAATGGGTGTTTAAGTTAGCAGAAAAAAAGCATCATAATGCCCTAGAACTGAATGCCAAATCTAAACAAAATCATAACAAACAAGCAAGTATTCTAAAATGGGAGTGATTAATCACTGTACTGCTGTACCTCAGATAAACGGCATCCTATGATATACACCACAGCCAGAAATTAAGTCCTCAGATAACACCCACCTTTAAATAATCTGAGACAAGTAAGGCAACAGAAACTGCTGTAGTTCATGAGGTTGTGGGAATTACTGACACAAGAAGGAGAGGTCTCAATCCCTCTCACTCCTACAGGGTAACTTGTAGACCTCTACTTTCAGGCAGTATTTCAAAATAATTTTTCAAAATAATTACATTTCTATTTAAAACTAATCACAAATACAAGTTCTTCATTGAAGTTCAGGAATCTTCCAAAACAAAACAAATTAGCTAGCTTTTATTCATCTTCATTAGGAAGCATACCATGATTGAATAATACAGAAAACTAGCACTTTTCAGAGTATTTGGAACAGACAGACACTTCATAGCGTACCTAAAAAGCCCACTTCAGTGAGCCTTCATAAAGTTTGCCAACTAAACTAAAAAAAATTTAAGTTTCAGTTGTAAGTTATTTCTTACAGCTAACTTAAAATTATGATAACAGATTATATTAATTATTTGGTTTAGATTGTGTTGGCTTCCAATTGCTTGTTAACCTTTCTTTGTGAGAATGTAGAATTACCAATAAAGGCATCTGTTTAAAAGGGTCCCACATTAAATGATTTTTAAAAATTAATTTAACATAATAAATCATACTGGCTAATATACATTGTTAGAACATCCTGGACCATAGAACTCAACTCACCATTTTCATTATCTAATCTATGCCATCTGAGTAAGTCTGAGTTTCCTTTGTTAAAAAGAGATCTCTTTTCTATTTAATGACATTTTTGAAGGGATTTAATCACCTGATTGACAGTTATTCAAAAAATTAAAAATTGTCTACTTTCACCTGAATTTACATATCTCCACCTTTCCACTACTTAGATTAATTTTGACTCTGGAGATTGGCTCTCCAAACACCAAAACTTCTTAATGTAACCCATTTTTTCTTAATACCAGCTAAACAAAACCTCATTCACCCTTGCACTTGATTTTACACTGACATGCATTACTTCATTATCATTCAGTGAACTATAACCTACAGTGATACTGTAGGTGCTGTTGAGCAAACTGATGAGAAACTTTGGTGAAAAAATAGCAAGCAGTTTTTCCTGAATAGAGGTCTTCATGGGTCAACAAAGTAACAGCAAGCATACCAAGACATATTTAAAAATTAGGATTTCCATTCAGCAATATTCTTCACATTAATCCTTCTTATGAGTCCCTTATAAGGTCAGTACTAGCAGATGTTCGCAAGAAAATCTATACTTTCCCTTTATATGCATAATTTAAGCCTCTCTGCATTCATGTGAAGTACACTTCATTTTTTCCATTGCTATCTTGAGACTGAGGACTGCTGTGCTTAGAAGATAAAATTAATCTTGTGCTGTGTACATTCAGATTCAAAGCTAAGGTATAGTTTTCAAAATCATAGGTTATGATGACAAAAATTATTAACCCTTCCTCCCTCTCCTCATCTCTCCCTCTCTCAAAAATGGTTACTTACGCTTATATATATTCTTGAATCTTATTGAAGAAAGCAAAAAAACATAGTAACATGATAAATGACCATCTTTGCTTGATCTACAGCAAAATAAACAATAAGAGTAAGCAATAACCCTTTCTGTCCTAGTAATGAATTGCAGTGAATTAATGTGATATTCTTTGTAGGAGAATTGATGGTGAACTTATTGGCTGTTCCATGTGCCTGCTGCTGTAATTAAGCATTCATTAATAAGCATTCAAATTAGAGTGCTGTTGAAAATAGTACAGCCTGTGCAGTTGAAAACACTTCTCAACTCTTATACCAAATCTTATTACAGAGTTGGCCAGCTTGAATCTCAAGGGAATGATCTTTCCATTGTCTTCCATTATATAAGGCAGTGTAGTTGCTGTTTGCCCACTGTGGCAGTATCTAACATACTAGAATATTTTTGCTCTCTTGTTTTTAGTCCTTTGAAACACAGTTTATCCTCATGAAAACTAACAATGACTATACAAGATACCTTTAGTGTAACACGGAATAACAAACCAAAAAAAATCATCCTACCTTTATACTTAATCCAAATCCTCCTACAGTTTGTCTTCTGATAGTTACTGTTCTTTCCTGAGGAAAAAAAGATCAAGTTTTTTCAGATTTAATGTTTTCTGGCAGAACAACTATATTCACACATCAATAATCTGTTTCTGTGCTTCCATCAGACATTGACTTCTCTTGCTTTAATAAAGTTCTGAGTTTCCAAATGTGGAAATCCCACAAAACCTATGCTGCAGAGGAAAAAGACAAAATCTAGAAGAAAAGTAGAGGTCCTGCCTCAAACAAAAAAATCGTTTTTTTCAGTTCACACCATACTAGTAAGTATTGCAATGCATTAAGAACAGAATTGTGGAGTTTGACAGTTAGGGCACAATACATTGATTTAAGAGGTCTTCACCTTGACTAGACCTAAATTCTCCCAAATGCATTTTTTTTTTTTACCCCAGAAATTTAGAAACAAAAATGATAGGACTCATTAAAGCACAGTTATCCATCATCCAATCTAAAACTGAGCCATTGGTCATGGCAGGTCTTCTTTTGTCATCAGTAAAGAAAAATAAATACATTCCGTCCAGGTGAATCAAAGCAGGTGCCCAAGTAGGTATTAATCACCTTCATGGAATGTAGAGGCAGGATGTCAAATCTAACTTGGGAATGATGATTCCCTCCCTTTAGAGCTGCAAAGTAACTTGAATAAGTATTTCGGTGGTAGATACCGGCTTTGAAATATTTTGCCAGAAAAATCCCTTATCCAAGTCAGTTTTACTTTGTGATTTGCATTTGGTTTTTTTTATGTGAATCTCAAAAACCCCAAATCAAGCTTAATTTTCTGTGCCATTTTCAACCCAAGTGAGCTGAATAAACCTTGTCTGCAAAGCACTATATTGTAATACAAAATAATATTTTTATTTTAATGATTAATGCAATAAAGAGGTTTGACCAGCAAACTGAAGCAAATTATTTTGTTCTGATGCCTTTAACTAGCATTTCAAATTAACAACAGTAATAATAAAATGCTTTTCTCTGGTCCAATAGCTTTAAGTTCTTAAAGTTATTTACAACTATTCATTAATGAAATATGGCAACAGCTCTGGAGGGCAACACATTTGTGACAATAAAGAAGCACTCTAAGTATCCTGATTGACCACTTATGTTGTTTCATGTTTAAGATATTAATGCTCCACTGGTTAGAATTATCTGCATTTAATAAAATCTTACTAAAAATCTGTGTCAGCTATAGATTTCTCTATTAGTATTTCACTTAGTTTTGCTTTCTCCTCTTTTTGAACAGCATGGATTTCTGTGATTGAATTTGTAGTGGTTTTGCAAATTCAAAGAGCAGCATCATCTCCAAGTTTACAAAATAAAACTTTGGTCAGATGAAAAGCTACTTAGTTTACTATCAAGACTATGTAAAAGTCTATGTGAGTTGGTAATTCTATTATGACATTTTTTTATCTGCATTATAGCAAACAGAGGGAAAGCTAAAGCTCCTAGGATCCTTAAAAGCAAGATTCAGAGTAGTGTTTTAGCTGTTTCCTGGAACAGAACAAAATTAGTTATCATTTTATTGAAAAACACAAAGCTGCTGCCAGCCTGTCAGCATTTTCCATGCCTTTAACTCAGAAAATTCCTCATCCACACATATGTTCATTGACTGGAAAAGACAGCTAAGATTTTTGCCAAGAAAATAAAAATCTTCCTCTGAGCTATGCAGTGAAATAGAAGCAGTGTTTTTTAGGTTTTCATTAAAGAACTATTAAAATTTCTCTTTAAAATCCGTATGATCTTCTTGAGAATACAAACATCATCTTAAGAGAGATCAGAAGTGAAGAATGACCATGTGAACACACAGCAACAGTAAATAATGAGGAAAGGAGAACATAGAATCCTAAGTAATTCTTAACTATTTGCATTTAGTCAAGAGTTAATGTTATTTTTAACAGGTAAATCTTAGAGCACAATAAAGATTTAAATATTTGATATTGACTGGTATGTGATGTAAAAGAAAGTTTATAATTGCTTAACTGATTCTTAGAAAAAAATGATTAGTAAGTAATCCTTTCAAATTACTGTAATATAAAGCAGTCATCTAATGTGATATAATAATCTAAAAATATGTCTTTATGAAGGAAGTCAAGGAAAAGTTGGATGAAAGGATGAAGAAACTTCAAAACTCTACATAAAACTGAACTAACAGCATGCGAAACTTAAATATACCTTTACTCAACCTTTTTCCTAGAATATAAATTTTATATTTTCAGTTAGGGACACTGGTTTCCCAGTGTGTAGTTATACATCTGGTATGTTTGGTATTCATCTTCTAAGAGTAAAGGTATGAAGAATAAATTTGTCTAGGCCCAGACAGAAAACAAGACCTCTCTTTTCACAGTGGATAGAACAGACACCAATGTATTATGTATATGGAAGAAAATGATAAAAAGCTGAATGGGTACAGCACAAAACAGTAGGTGAGAGAAAAGGAACAGACATGGAGAGTAATCTACCATAGAACAGTGACATAGAAAAATGTAAGGAAAAAAAAGGGAAGAAAATGTTAGAACATAAATTTTAAAATATAATATTATAAAGATAAAATCAACACATTGGCAGCAACTTCATAGATGAACCTGTTAATATTTGATGCCATATTTTCAAGGCCATGCTCTTATATAGTTTATCAGTAGTAACCCCACTACATTTTGAAATAAGAAAACATCATTCAATTTTTTTTCCTTTCATTTAACTATTGCATACATTTTCAAGATCTTATATCCTATTTTGGTAATGCTTTGCTCTTTCTTACTGACATTTCTTTGTTTTAATTTACATGAGCAGTCAAACTTTATACTCATTCTGAGTGTAAAGGACAGAGGACAGGTCAGTAACATTTCCAATCTGAATTAATAGTGTTAACAAGGTTTGCCAGTAGACTTGCTCATCTGCTAACAACTTCCATCATGCGGCATTTGAAGTTAGTCTCATTATTTCAGTTCCTCCTGCAACTGGAGAAGGATGGCAGTAAGGGATGGCAGCAGAATGACTGGCCAACTGGATGTCCCCCTTCCTCTGCCGCTGTGCAGGAGACTGAGAATAGCAAACACAGCGGTGTACTGGCTGGAATAACCAAAAACACTCATCCCTTTGCTCGGTCACACTTCAAAATATTCCCAGCTCTGCAGCATGTGCTTAAAAGCTGAAATGTTCTCCTAAATATTTACTCACAAAATTTCTACTCCTAGGACTGATTTATTTCAGAAGCGCTGCATTTCTCAATGTAGAAATAAAAGAGGAAAAAAATCAACAACAAAAACAAAACAACAAAAAACCAAAAACTCAAAGTCAGTAAGGATCTGAATTCACAGTAGGAAAAATTATTCTCTTTAAAATTTGGCCTAGTAAAATGAAAATTTGAACCTCAGTTGATTGCCATGCATTTTACTTTTAAGTAGCTGCAGAAAAAAAAGCCACCTTAGGTTTTCCCTAAATAATCGTATTTACATCTGTCAGGTTGTCACTTTAAAGCTGCCCAGACTGGCAGGGAAAAAAAAAGGTACCCCCATCTGATAGATGTTTGACGACTTCTGTGAAAAAATGGATTCACTCCACTGAACAGCTGACAGATACCAACATGATAAAAAAAAACACCAAAGATTCTTACTGCTAGCTTTGTGAAGGTAACAAGAATGGAAAGTGCTTGAAAGGTGACCTATCTGTCCACAAATTTGCAATGCTCTCCAAGACAGGGAGTTTATAATATTCAACCACACATCAGAATCAAAACTGTAAATAAAGACAACACAGAAAATAAATCAAACCCATTATTTATTATTTTAAGCTTTTCACTTTTTTCTTCTATTTCTATTCATGTTAATTGAACTTGTTTTACCAACACTAAAATATGTAAAAAGAAAATGTATAATTCTCAAAAGAGAATGGTCCAATGTAACAGATAAAAAAAAAAAAAATTCTCAGGAATTCTTAAGAATTTAAATATATGTCCAGTTCTCTAGGGGAGAAAAACGGTGTTTCTGACCTGAAAGACACCATTCTTATTTTCCAGTTTATCCACAGGCAGACTCATGGATATCTTCAGAACACAAGCTACTCCAGTTCAGGCACACATTTCCTGTACTATAAAGCCTTTCTACAGGCAAGAGTGTAATGACACTGCCTTCTAGGCTTTGAGTTTCACTAAATGTTCTCATTTCACTTTTGGTTGTTTGCACTGGAGTTCAAAGCTACAGCAGATGTCTGCTAACAGCATAATGCTGACCCCACTATGCTGCTTTCTCTTGAAAAGCAAGTCTTTCTTGTTGCACACATAAAGAAATTAATTTAACACTTATTGATGCAACTGATGCTCAAAGTTTGATGTAAACCATGACTGTTTGAATGACTGTTGTTGCTTTTATAGGTACAATTGTTGCAGAACCCTCACTAACACCATAATTTTGTTCAGCCTACTAAAGAAACAGATACTTTATTTTTTAGTGTTTAATACTGTTGCTTATAATATTTTATGCATTTCATTTTCTTACTCCAAACTCTATACAATGAAAGGATAAACAAGGTTCCTTTGCACCTCTTTTGTTTTGGAAACTAGAACTGTCTTCCACTGAAAGGGAAGTGTTCTAAATTAAGAACTAGGTCCTTATCCCATGCACTCACATTAAAAAGCACTTCATTCCTAAGGAGCCATTGACTTCATTTAGATTATTCCACAGGATACAGATCAGGATGCTGCTGGAACGCTAAGTGCCTGTTTAAAGTCTGTCCTACACAGAGAAGCATGCAAATTGATTCAGACACAACAAACAGAAGAGATACTGTTCTGAACTAGAAACACAGTAACAGCCTTTCGTTCCATACCAGTGAAGAAGCGATAAAGAAAAATCTTATAATCAAATTATTTGAAGATTATTTATTAGAACAGATTTAAAGAAGTTTTGTTGTAGTTACTTGTCTGTAAAACTTAACAATAGTATCATTTCTCAGTTACAAATTTTATTTTTATGCTTTAGAGTTTATTCTCTGAGGCATTCAGTGCCAGTTGCTAATGAAAACACTTGCTTTGTAGAATTCAGGTAAATAAAATAAATGTGGTCACTTATCTAGAACAACAGTAATAATAAAACAAAATTACCCAAATAAAGCAAAATATAAGAAAAGCCAATAAATTAAACCTAATAAATTAGAAATAAAAATGAGGAAAATCAGGAAAAAAAAAGTCTGTGGGACTTGTGGGTTTTATCTGATTAAATCATATAATCAGAACACATGATTCCAGATTATTTAAATTACCTGTGACAAAAGGACAGCTAACTGTTTGTGAAATGCCAATCATCCTTAGTTGGAATGAATTTACTGCTACAAAACCTACTCTTAATCCCAGAGGAAATCAGGGTAAAGTGCTCAAAACTCACTAGTCTAACAATGACACTTCCAGAAAGAAACTCCTCATCACCACGGTAATATCAATCAGTTTATGAGTTATGAATTCAATATGCAAATAATATAGGGAGTTCAATTGGTGAAGCACATAATCCACTATTTTCCACAGAGCCTTTGCAAAGCTAAAGAGGGCAAAACTGCAAGAGAAAGCCTTGCTGTGAAAAGCAAAAAAAAATTAATATGCATTTCATGAAGACATCTAAATAACAAGTTCAGCAGAGTAACAGACATTACAGCAGAATAATGAAATTTGTATTTCTGTGTGATAAATTTTTTTATTAAATAATGCCGGAATGGTGTTGGTGGAATAATGGTGCCACAGCGTATATTGCTAGTTGAACTATTATGACTTGAGCTTGAACTCCTAACTTCTTTCTGTCCTGGCTGTTAGATGTCCCCTATATTGAGGAACAGCACATTCTGACTGGTAAAAGTTGCACATATACTCCCCATAAAGGAACAGACCTGTGTTAGTAAACTGTATTAGTACAGCTTGAAACAGTCAAATGCTAATGTCACATTTGTCATGCAAATAAACCCAGACTGTATGGAGACAGTGTAGGCAGTGTGTTCCTCTTGTTTCAGACACCTTGAAATATTCATAATCCTGGGATAGGTTATTTGATATTTTTTCCATTAATCTTCCACACTGTTAGCACTGCTAACATTCTACCAATTTTTTTTCTGATTTCTGCTTTGTATCTTTTTATTTTACTTGTATTTACAGATACAGGTATGTGACAACTGCAGCAAATAAATAATAAAACAGACACACATATTATCATTCACATAACACATGCATAAACAGACATTACACTACTATGCCTCACATGATTTAATTTTATTTAGTTCAAAGCAATAGCAGAATGTTTATGATAGTTTCCCATAAATCTTAAAAATATCTCTACAAAACATAATTACAGTATCAATAAAAGTCTATAGAAATGAACACTAGATGGTTCCTATTATTTTTGTAGCTATCTCCTAATATTAAATTAAAACTTAGCATTACAATATTATTAGAACCTACAATATTGTTCTATATAAAAATTTACACATCTTCCAAATAATTGTCTACAAAGCCCAGTTTCTTATCCACAAGATTCAAAATAGTGCTTAAATAAGAAATCTGACCCATCATGTAAAAGCAGTAATACATAAAACACACTACTACTGTTCCATACATGGTGTGCTGGTAAAACTAGTGACCCTCACAGCATGCACGAAATCTAGTACTGTGCCACCATAGGAAGCAATCAAAGCAACAGAGGATAGAAGATAATTCCTCTACCAGCAAACTCCTGCCACAACCATGTTATCAACTCCACAGGCAATATTCAGATATCTAAGTACATCGAGGTATCTGTACTCCCTGAAAAAATCACTGCTCATGTCATTTCTCTGACATTCAGTGGCTCCAAAACCCAAGGGTGGGTGAAGAGAAACAATACTATACTCACACAAATAACTTATCATCTTATTGCTGCTTTTTAGATGAGTATTGCTAAATTTTATTTGCAAAAGATGATATATTAAAACACATTTAGTGTTAACAGTATAAAATGAAACATCAAACCATGGGAGTAAATGCATTACTATGTGTGTATGCACTTGCACACACGTGCACACACATACACACAGTGTTTTATTTCTTTGTGAAGAATATCTTAAAGAAGAAATAAAAACTACTTACACCAGAATAGAAAGGCTCACCAGACACACAGATCACATCCTGCTCCTGGATCATCAAGATATCTTTGGCTAAGTGCAGTCGCACTTTGAAAGGCTCCTGGTTACCATCCTGCAGCAAACAAACCCCTGTCTTTGTCTTCAAAGGAAGGAATAAAGAAAAAAAAATTTTTCAGTTAGCACTTTGCATTGATAGAGGTGATACAGTTGAGAGATAAGTACAGTTACCATAAATACATTAACAAATATCTAAAACTATTTCCATCAATCACTGTATTTACTGTGTTTAGACTACAAGGCAACGATGGCTACAGTAGCATATAGTGAAGGCAGATTTTGCAATAATAAGGTGCTATTTCACTAACGATGAATTTGTGAAAGTCCTTTCAAATTTCTTCAGATCAGCTGTGGTATGACTTTTCATCTTTGTATTAAATGACACCACCTCACTTGGATGTGAAGTAAAAGCTGATGCTCCACATATTACACCAATTTTGACACAGAAACACCTCTAAACTAGCTAGATGTGAGCACCAACAGCTACATGAACCAGTTTGGGGCTTTTCCTTATCTGTGACCACAATACTGACTTACTCTTTTATGTTCTATTCAAATGAGAATGCTGAAGTTAAGAATAAGAGAAAATAAATCACAGAATACAACTCCTTCTAGTAACTTACTTCTTGCTCCATTTCTGTATTTTACATTTATGGATAAAGATCAAGAATTCTGTAGGATTCTTCAATATAAAATAAGTGATTTTGCAGCAGTTAACAGTGTCTTTGTGGTAGTGCCTATTTGTGCTATATGAGAAGGCTGAGCAGTGAAGATGTTGGCACACTTAAGTACTATCAGTATTTAATAATTTTTCCTTTAAGGTTGTGTTGAAAATAGTACTCTTTGTAACACCTCATAAATGGACAAAAGTCGTATTGGTAGAGTATATTTAATATGAGAAATCCACTTACAAACAATATAAAAAATCAGCCTTATGACATGTAATTTACCAGTATAACACATGTATTTGCATAGATACAGATAAATATGTATCAAGATATATATCTCAAAAGAAAATTCACATATTAATAGTACTTAAAATCTTGGACTCATCAGTGCCAATAAGGAAACTTTCACTGTCTTTATAGAGGTCAGATTTCAATCCACCATCTATAAAAAACTGGCTTAAGAGGAGATCAAGGAAACAAAAGCATTTCTGAACTTTAAGTGCCAAGGTTGACCTGGCTGAATCTGAGGTCTCTTTCTCAGATAAGAGTTTAAAAGAGGATTTGGAAGATCTTCCCATAATACGCTCTGATACTTTACATCCATAGCATGGAGAGAACAAACACAAATATGGAACTGACGGTAGGCAACTGGCAGAAGAGAAGTTTAGATCTGTCTCATGAGGCTTTAAAAGAGGTGGAAAGGTCGGGGACAATCTTTAAATAGCTCTATATAATGTTCTCCAATGACAAACTGTTCTGTCACTTCTACTCCATACTGAACACTCAAACTTTGGAATCGTTTTTCCTTGGGTGCCGGGAGCAAATGTGTGTAACTCAGCCATGACTTTGAAAGTGGCTCTGACATTGTTTTTATTCTTTCTAAACTAAAGAAGAAGAAACAAAAATTAAGAGTTATATGCATTGAATTCACACTGGGGTCAATGGAAGCTCTGGTCAGAAGTCATCATACACCATTTTTCTAATATTAAGGTATCTTTATTTATATATATATTTTTTTTAAAAAAAAAACAGGATGAGATAGAAACTGTTTGACATGCTCAGACAAAATAAAGGGATCACAAAAGAAGTTAGGTTTTCAATACCACTAAAAAATGCCCACTCACATCATACACAAAAATGTTACAATATTAAACTAAAGAAAGAATGGTTCTGTCCTTGTAACTTTTGCTTTACAAACTAAGATGCCTCCTTGCTCCACAGAGTTGTGAAGCAGTAAGTGACAATGGCAGTTGAACAATGTGGGCTGTAAATAACTATGGTTAAATAAAAGGGGCTAGATACCACTTATATAATGTCTTTCTTCTGCAGAAGTTTTCAAATATGTCTTTCCTCCTCCTTGGATAACTGCCAATAGAATAAATTCTGTCTCCCTTACACCAAGTATAGCAACTCTGACTTACTTGACTGCACATTTCTGATTTGATCAATAATCTTAAAAAATTTCTAGAGTCTTTTTGCAAAAGCTGAGTGGCTTCTTTGGGGGAATTAGAGTCAGATAACCATAGCAGACACAATTATCCACTGGAAAAAAATTAAAATTCAAGTCAGTTTCTAAATGCATGTGGGCTGAGCTTTTTCTGTCTGAACAAGGAAGCTTGGGAACAGCAAAATAGTTTGGCCCTTGGAAAGACTGATCACACACACTCAGGGCCCTTATTCACATAAGACACTCTAAAATGTAATGAACCACTTCACTGTTGTTGGGTTTTATGAAAGCTGGTTTAGGATACAGTTCAAAATTAAATTATACTACCTCCCTCCCCCTCCTACCTGAGAGCAGCATTAACAACCACACAAAGGAGAAGAATGTAGTTGAGTTTCATTAGCTAACTTCAAAAGAAGACCTTGTGAAAAAAGACCAGGATTTAATTATTTGGTTTCATTTTTGCCTGCTGAAACTTCTTTTTTTTTTTTTTTTCAGCTCTCTCCCAGCCCCTTCAAAGCATCCCATAAATGAAATCAAATAAAGATATCAGCTCCTGCATCCTTATCCAGAGCTGGAACTTAGGGAAAGATATATATATATATATATATATATATATATATATATATATATATATATATATATATATATATATATATAATTATATATAATTTCATGTTAATTGCTGATACAATTTCATGTTAATTGCTGTGCACTTCACAATTTTCATTCATGTGGCCCCAGCAAAACTATTCTCATTGAAAGGACACCATCTAGCCTATATCCCATTGAAAGGACACCATCTAGCCCTCCCTTGAAGAGCTTAGATGGGGGGTGTTGTGTATGTCTGTGTGTGTGTGCGCGAGGTGTGGGACTGCAGGGCTATGGCTTATGTCAGCTTTTGCTCCTGGTACTAATTTTTAAGACACTCCATGTGCATGTGTGCTGAAATTCTTCCCTTCTACCCTTCTCCATTTCACTGGCAGAGGGCCCTACCCCTGGCTTGCAGCAGTAAAGCAGCATAGGGCACATCAGCTGAGCTACTGCCACCATCAGTGTGAAGTCATGCAAGGCATCCCCTTGTGCTCACGTGTGTGATACACTTCATCACCTTACAGCAGACATGGACAGGGAAGCAGAGTTCAGCTGATAACAGTTTGTTAAGTCAGTACAACTTGACTGTATGTTTAAGCCCAAATAGCCAAGAACATTGCCTTATTTATAGAGTTTGGCACCTGACGGGAAGAAAACAGAGTGTTTGAAGTTGCAAATTTTTATGAAATGGATGAGGATTGTTAAGGAAGGCATATGGAAGCAATATAAACCAATAAAAAGCAGTGAAAAAAAATTAGTTTCCATATGGGAGGAGAGCCTGTGACTTCAAGCAAAAGCAGTGATGAAGGAAGGTAGAGGCACCTGAGTAACAGATGCAGTGAATTTTGCACCGGCACAGTGCTGCCTCTGTCATCTCATTCTACATCCTTTTAAAATGAGTTTTAGACAAGAACACTGATGCTTCCAGTTCCTGAACTAATATAAGTACAAGAGGGGCTGAAAACTGATCCCCCTTTGTTTTGCCACACCAGTCTGTGGTGAACTTTCTGCTTAAGGTCCCTTTCAGAGAATAGTACAAGCTGGCAGAACCCTTACGGCAGACTGCTTCTCTCAATAATATAGTTACACTCTGATCATTATTAGCAACAAGGCATTGAAAAAAGGTTATTTAAAAATCTTTTCCCATTATACTCTGATTTAAAGCACTTTGTCCATACGGGCTGTGTATAAGATCTTGCCCTAATAACTTTCCTAAAAGTAATTTAGAAACTTTTACATACTAAAGACAGCTTAGTGAAACATATATGGCCCTAACAAATATTTAAGAATTAATTTCAGAGGAAACACAAATGAAAACTGCAGTTTATACATTTATGCTAGTAGCAGAGTCTCTACCAAACATAACAAAATAAATACTGTAGCAAAAACATCTTGAAAGTTATCTGTTGATTCAGAAGTCAACTTCCCATATAAGTATTTTTTTTTAAATTCTTTTGGCCTAAATAAGTATGCTGGCAGATTTTCTGTTCAGGAATTTTTTTTCTTTGTTTTTTTTCTTGTCATTTATGACAAAAATAATTCTAAAACTTTTTGTGTTTTATTCTAGAGGAGACTTAGTATTTCAGGCAATTTTAAATAGCCATGAATTTTCAAGACATAAATCTGTCTTTTCATCTACGCTATTTTTTCTATGTCTTTTGCCCTACATTAATAAAACAATTTATTAGCTTTGCTTCTTTTATTTTCACAGCAGTAGGAAGACTTAAACAGATATCCCAGAATAGTTTAGTCCATGAACTAGTTGAAGAAAGGAAGATAGGAAAAAAATTTCAGCACATTTTCTACGCAAGGTGACCTGGATTTTTAGTTTCTTTTTACTGATATGTCCTAAAATAAACTAAACCTCTTCAACTCAGTTTTAAGTCCTGAAATTTATTTCTACTATCAAGAACTTGATACCAGTAAGGAGAATGGGTTGCAGAGACTGTCTTAAAAGTAGTTCCTCCAGATTAATATCTGCCCTTTTGGATGCTTATTTGAACTGAGGCTGACCTCTGAGTATTTAGAGATATGCCTGTCACGGCTTTATAATCACAAGTATAATAATAAAAAAAAGAAATTGAATCAGAGGCTTAAGGAAGTAATGGCAATGGATTCAAGAGGTAAGAATATGTGTCAGAATCATAAAAAGGATGTTTTTTAAATGGTTCAGCTACACGTTTTGTGGAGGTGTTGCCAAGATTAAGTGAAAAGCACTTATATTGTCAAAAATTGGAATGCAGCCCAGACACACTGGGATGTGTTCAGCTTGTCATTCAGAGCCTCTTCTATCAGATATCAACATTTTTCAATCCAAAGGACAGCAAGTCCATTCCTGCATATGAATTTTACACTCCAATCTGAAAGAACCACAGA